CCAGCTCTACACCTTGTTAGCTCTTTCAGCTGGATCTTCTCACACAGCGGTCGATCAATCTTGTTAGAGAGTGATTGGCGACAATGACACTTCAGACATCTGGTGGCTATGAAAGGCTCTAGATAATTGCAACTATTTTTTAATTTTCTTTTCTGACAGGATGACAGAGATAATATCTTGCAGGGAATTGAAAAGACAGGAGACATCTCGACCGAACACACAGAGAACTCTCCATTCACAATCCACAGGATAATATTGAGCTCCCAACACACAAACACACAACTCAATAATAGGAAATCAAAGAAACCAGCAATTTTTGTTCAAAGGATCGAGAGTCGTTATTGCTAAAGAGATGAAAAAAGAGATGCCGAAGCACATTCCACACAAACCATGAAGGAATTGAGTCTATTCTGAGGAAGGTAAGAGAAGTGTTGTACTGGTCAAACATGTGCAAAGAGATGAAGGACCACATCAGCCAGTGCAGTGTTTGTAATGAACATCAAGCGAAACAAGATAAAGAGATGCTCACGACTCATGACAACCCAGACATCCCATGGATGAAGCTTGAAGTAGACCTCTTCACTCTCACTGGAATTGATTATCTCGTCACTGTCACCTACTATTCAGGCAGCAGGGAGTTAGAGCAGCTGAGGTCAGTGACTGCCAGTGAGATTGTAGAATGTCTGAAAGCACACTTCAGTCATCATGACATTCCTGATATTGTGATCAGTGACAATGACCCAATGACCTCAATTCATCAGTGAACGATTCAGACACTTCCTGAATGAATGGGGAATACAATATCATACATCATTTCCACACAAGGTGTTTACAGGCACACCAAATTTGTGAATGTTGATGTGTAAATATAAGTTTTTCTTACTTAGAGAAACATTATGCTTCAAGTGTACTGGAAATGATAAACCCATTGACAGCGAAAGTATCCCAGCCTAGAATGACACTGTCCAATTTATTGTGCACATAACTGTTATGTATGATCCTGAGTATTTCATGAATACACACCATGCTGACAAAATTGGGTGATGAAAAATTATGATTTATTATAGATTATAAATCTATAGAGAAGATTGAAAGAACAGCAGGAAAGCAAAACAATATTCAGCTTACATCAAAAACACAAAGCATTTCAAAATAATTCAAGATCCCTCCCAGAACTGTAATTTAAACTTGGAAGAGGGTATAGTGAACATATAATATTTCTCTGCTCAGAGATTCCAGAGCAAGGGGCATGGCACTAAAATTAAAATGAGGTTGTTCAGAGGCAATATCAGCAAACAGTTCTTCATAAAAAGAGGACTGGGCTTGTGGAACTCTGTCCCACAAAAATCAGTTGTGGCTGAGGGTCAATTGAACCTTTGAACCTGAGATTGATAGGAATATTGTTCACAATGCAATAATAGATTGACAAGAACATGGCAAGTTCTGAGTGGGTTTGTCGATGTCCCATGAGGTCCAACAACTGTGTGAAACCTTCATTACCAAACTTGGATTGACAGGTTTGAGTAGGAAATAGTTTGATTGTGTGAAAGCCTTGTCACAACCATTGTAACTGAAGAGAACTTTGTGCATATCCTGTGTGTCCCAGGAGGTTCAAAGATGTTAGAAAAGCTTTGTCGCAAACCTTACACTTGAAAGGTTACTCTCTTGTGTGGATTCTCCAATGAAGCAGGAGATTTGATGACCTTGAGAATGATTTGTCACACACCTCGCACGTGAATGGTTTCTCCCCTGTGTGAATGCATTGGTGGACACGGAGGGTCGATGACGTTGAGAATGATTTGCCACACACATCGCACTTATATGGCTTCTCCCCCGTGTGAATGCGTTGGTGTACACGGAGGTTTGATGACTCTGAGAATGATTTGTCACACACCTCACATGTGAATGGTTTCTCCCCTGTGTGAATGCGGTGGTGCACAAGGAGGAGCGACGATGTCGAGAATAATTTATCACACACCTCGCACTTGAATGGTTTCTTCCCTGTGTGCAGCCTCTGATGGACCAGGAGGTTTGATGACCTTGAGAAAGTTCTGTCGCACACCTCGCACCTGAATGGTTTCTCCCCAGTGTGAACGCGATGATGGACAAGCAGCTGTGATAGTGTTGAGAACAATTTGTCACATACTTCACATGTGAATGGTTTCTCACCTGTGTGAACGCGTTGATGTCCACGGAGGTTTGATGAGTCTGAGAATGATTTGTCACACACCTTGCACACGAATGGCTTCTCCCCTGTGTGAGTGCGTTGGTGCCTGCACAGACTCGATGAATCCGAGAATGATTTCTCACATACCTCACATGTGAACAGTTTCTCCCCTGTGTGAATACGTTTGTGTCCATGGAGGTGTGATGATGATGAGAATGATTTGTCACAGACCTCACATGTGAATGGCTTCTCCCCTGTATGAATGCGTTGGTGTTTACGGAGGTTCGATACGTCTAAGAATGATTTGTCACACACCATACACTTGAACGGTTTCTCTCCTGTGTGAATCCGTTGGTGTACACGTAGGTTTGATAAAATCGAGAACGATTTATCACACACCTCGCACGTGAATGGTTTCTGCCCTGTGTGAATTCTCTGGTGCCTCAGCAGTTGGGAAGAAGAGGTGAAAGCCTTCTCACAAACCTTACACCTGAAGGGTTTCTCCCCTGTGTGAATCATTTGGTGTGCCAGGAGCCTTGTAGAAGTCACAAAAGATTTAGCACAAACCACACACTTGAATGGTTTGTCTTCCATGGAGCTGTCTTTGTGTTAATAGTCGTTGTTACAACTTGGTTGTCATGAGATTTTATGAACCTGTGGAGCCCTTCTCACACGCAAACAGCCTCTCACCTTCAGGAATGAGTTAGAGGTCCCTCAGGCTCGATGAATGATTGAAACTCTCACCCACTGAGTCCATTCACACTTCTTCCCAGCCTCACCCTGATATCACCCACTGCCGAACCTTCTGAAAGGTTGGTTCTGATGGAAGGCTTCACATTACTGACTAGTTCCAGATCTGATGATATGTCGAAGCTCCTCTGACTTAACCAATCTCCAGATGATGGTTTCACTGCCCAACCTCCTCCGGTTCAGCAATGCTGTGAAGGGACTGGATGTCTTCCCACAGCTGTGCAGTTGTACCTTTGATGAGGGTCAGGATCTATCTGCAGCGTCTATCCTCTTTGTGTTCTCCGGCGTAGTACGATGCACTCCTTTTGTGAAACAGGAAGAGGAAATGTAATTTTCTCCAATTCCCTCATCTCTGCTGAAGAAATTTTGGATTTGCTGAAAACATTCAGAAATAAAACATGAGAACTTTCAGCTTATCCTAAAAAACCCAAATATTGTCCTTCAGGGTGGGAAACCTACAACAAACTGCCTGGTCAGTTCTACACAACATGGTTGACCCTGAACTGCCCTTTAAAGTGACTGGGCAAATAATGATAAACGATCACTACAAAGTCCAAGAACAAGAGGAAAATCAGAGAGAGATTTGGATAATCCGTCAGAATCTCAGAATAGATGAAGCTGATCAAAGCCCCATGAAATCTGTTAAGTCTCTCTTTCCAAGGTATGAGGATAAGTCCCCAAGTGAAGGAAAGATGCCTCACAGACTGGTCAAGTAGTAGTGATAATCACTGCATCAGATCAATCTGGGAACATCCCAGACTCCTCCATCGCTATCCCTGGATGTATCCCATTTGATGAGCAGGTGGGGAAGTCCTCAATATTGAGTCCATGGAATCTCATGGCTTCAGGTCAACAAGGAAAACTGTCACTCCCGTCCCAACTGATGAAGGTATATTTGTGGCAGGATGAAGCAAAAAGCAGTGTATTATCTAAATGGTGAGAGACTGCAGAGCTCTGAGTTAGAGGAATCTGGGTTTCCTCATGCATGAAGTGCAAAAGGTTCCTCTGCAGGCACATTGAGTAATTTGGAAAGGTAACAGACCATTATCATTCATCATGATAGGAAATGAATGCTAAAGTAGGGAGGTTATGCTTCAGTTATACAGTACACTGGGAAGATCACATATGGTGTCCTCTGCACGGAATTGATCACATTATTTAAGGAAGGATGTAAACGTGTTGGAAGCAGTTCAGACCAAATATTACCAGACATATACTGGAATGGATAGGTTTTCTTAGGAGAAAAGATTGGACAAACTGGGCTTGTCTCTGCTAGAGTTTAGAAGAAGTGGTGATTTGATTTGAAGCATACAGGGTCCTGATGACTCTTGGCAGGGTGGATGTGAAGAGGGCGTTTTCTCTTGTCAGAGGATCTAAAACTGGAGGACACTGTTTGAAAACATTTGGGAGAATTATCTTTAATACAGAAGGTCTTTGGAACTCTCTTGCAAAAGGTGATGCAAGTCCTTGAATATTTTTAATATGTGGAGGTGTTGGTGTTGGACTGGAGTGGACAAAGTCAGAGGTCACACGACACCAGGTTATTTTAAATCACAAGCTTTGAGAGCGCTGCTCCATCATCAGGTGAAGTCCAGACTAGACTAGATAAGGATGGCAGTATCCTTCCCTAAAGGAGATTAGTGAACCAGATAGACTTTTCCTGACTATCAGCAATGGATTCATGGTCATCGTTAGATTCTAAATTACAGATATTTATTGAATTCAAATTCCACCATGGCGGAATTTGAATTCAGCTCCCCAGAACATTATCCGGGTCTCTGGTTTAACAGTACAGTGATAACACCATTCAGCTATTGTCTCCCCTGTGATGGTTATCTGGGGATGTGGGCATGTGGAGAAAACTGATGCTATCATTGAAAGCTGGAGCAGGCTGTAAAGGCTGAGGAGCTAACTTTTTTTATTCATTCACAGGATGTGGGCAGCATTGGCTAGGCCAGCATTCAGTCCCTCCCTAATTAAGAATCAACCACATTGTTGTGGATCTGTGGAGTCACATGTAGGCCAGACCAGGTAAGGAAGGCAGATATTTGGGCTTTCCTGACAACCGACAATGGTTTCATGGTTATCATTATACTTTAAATTCCAGAGTTTTATTGAATGTCACTATCTACGAGAGGTGGGAACTGAACCGGGTCCCATAATATTACCTTTGTCTCTGGACTAGTAGTCCAATGATGATAACACTGAGCTTCACCTCTTTCCTAATTTATATATTCACTATGAAAGTCATCACCAGGGAAGCAACCTAAGGACAGATCCCAAAACTGGGTGTCCATAAGATGCGATGAGCAATCAGCAGCAGCAGGATTGTATTCCACCACAATCTCACAGACCCGGCACAGCTCTCATTCCAGGATTATCCTTAAACCAGTGGACAGAAATGTCAGGAGCAGCACCGGGGACACCGTGGAGTCCAGGTTTGAGCCAAATGGATGTAGTACAGAAGACTACATGCAGACTAAACACCAAGAACAGCAGGTAATAAACAGAGCTAAACAGTCCCACAATCAACAGACCAAAGCTCGGTCATCCTACCGCACCTTGTTGAAAACTGTGGACAACCAGTCCAGGAACAGGAGAAGGCAGCTCCATTCACAGCCACGTTGGATCCAGCACATGAGAATGAGACACAATTTTAAACTGTCTTTGGGAAAAAACATCAAGTGGATGATCAAACCCAGCCTCTTGCTGAAGTGCTGGGAGAACTCCTCTACAAACCACTTCAACTTTCCCCAGTATCGAGGAGGCTCATATCAGGAGCGTATTATGAATATGAAGCTTACAAGACTATTATGTTTTAAACTTTCTTTTTAACATAAGGAAAAACACAATACCCCAGAAACAGGGGCACAAAGAAATTGTGGAACTCTGCCCAGGGGCAAGTTAAGGAGTCTGGTTACCATCAGGATATGTTGGGACTTTCTGAGCAAAATGCAAAGTTATCACACCTGAAAACAAAGGCAAGAGCATTTTGGGTTATCTGTACAGACTTTCTGTCTGTAATCTCAGACACAGTCAGGTCTAAGGGAGAGCCTAAGGACGGCAGCCAGTATAGTCACTGGAGACAAGAGGGTGTCCTTTCTGTGGGCTGTGAGGCAGAATGTGGGAGGGAACATGGTCTCTGTTTGAAGAGATACATCCTGTGACAATCTAAAGTCTCCTGAAAATTTCCCCTGTGGAAGTCAGGAAAGAAATTGCTAGAGGTTAGCAGTCGGTTCAGAACTTCTTGAGAAATTCAGAAACATAGCTTTTGACAATCACTTGAAGCAAGAATTCACTGAAACAGGGAG